TGCATGTTCCACTGTGTAATTTCAAGTTGCATCAGTCTAATTCTTCGCCAATATATCATTCCTGAACATCAAATTCAGTATCTACTGCCCCCCCCTCCCGCTTCTTATTTTGCTTGACATAGGCTTGTGAATCCCTAAGCCGAGTCCCCACCGAATGAAGAGTGCTTAACATTGTGAGCTGGAGCCTCTACACCCACGGCTGGGAGAGAGGAAAATTTGTAGTCACAAACTTCAGGTCTGGGTTTTGTGCTCTGGGCAATCTACAGGCAATCCTGAAGATTTGACCAGGCTGTGAAACTCAGGTTGTTAACTCCATGTACGATGAATGTACTAAGTTTCCTCTCTCCCAACCATGGGTTTGTGAATACGAGTACATATCACCCTATGCAAGCCACATGTGTACACTAGTGTATAGCTTTGTATTGCCAGGAGTTTGCGTGACTGAAAAGGATGCTGATTTCTTGCTCTTTTTTTTCTGACAAGTACGCACAAAGGGAACAACGCTGTATACGCAGCACAATAATCAATTGCCTCCTCACCCTTGCACCATACACTAGCAGTCGGCGAGAACTTGGAAAGACTAGGTCTCGTTGCCATAGCGTTCTCAACCAGTTGTTGGTAGAGCGATGCGTTGTCACAGTTGTGATCCATGTGAATTGTTACCACATGCAATTCAAAGGACAGCAGGGTGATGGGTCGGCCAAGCAGGGTAGAATTCCTGAAAGGCAATAGGTGCAGAATTGCCTCAGTGTTAGCTACACATGACCAATAAACAAATCTGTGGACAGCAACTGTTTCGCTCTGTTAGAGCTCCTCAGCACAGCTCAGAGGACCGAAGCGCAGCTCTTCGCAATGAAATACGTTTCCGTGAAGCAAAGCATTTTTATAAAGAGCTGCAAACCTCGCCAAGAGTGCTCGAAATGCTCCAAAAGCAGTGAGCGTTGCACAAGGCGAGCGGCGAGGGTTCGCGCTAAGGTAAGAGTCCAATTACACTCAGGTCCAGCTAAGGTGATGTTGCGTTTCTAGTGATTGAGTCAAGAGTGATATCTGGTAATCAACAAGTAGGCTGCGGGAGACCTGTTATCTACTGGATGACCATTTCAATTGAGATACTGTGATTTTGGCGGCAATTGTGGTTCAGAAGGTGCCTGCTCCTTTCATTGGAGCGGGAAGGCAGGAAGTGTGAGCTGAAACGTTAGGGGCACCAACCTTCTTGCATTACCATATGCTGCTTGAAAGATTTCCTCCCTGTCTATACTGGGTTTGCACTATACACTCTAGTACAGAAAATGGGTATGTATCTGTGTTACATGTACTGTCCCTGACATTGTTGACTATTGCATGGGTGTTCAAGTCAACATGAACATCAGCATACGAGCCTGAGGACAATGCTCAGAATGAGGATAGCCCCCGGGAATCTATTTTCTACTTTGCATACTTGGCTACCTTGATAGTGCTCACTTCCGTTAATCGTTTTTCTTTGTAATTTTCCATTCATTTTCTGCTCTAATTCATATTTGCTTTGTTTTCCTAGCTTACTATTGCCGTGGCTGGCTCAACGCCCTTGTCTCAGGGGATTCTGTCCCTGCATTAGCTTTGCTTGTCACATGCTATGAGATTGTGTCTAATAATACCTACTAGAGGCCTCTAGCCCCAGGAAACAAGACAGTACTAGCATTTGAGGCTAACAACAACAACAACAACAAGACAAACGAGCCATATAATACTGTCTCGAATCATTCAGCCTACGCACGATGACCCAAAGCAGTTCACAGTAAAGCTAGCTCACCTCAGGGTTTCATCGGATACAGACACGTTAGCCACTGCAGTCTCTTCTTCTAGGCTTTCCCTGAGCTGTGAACGCAACAGGAATACACCGAAAAGGTATGGAAGTCCATAATAGTTTACACACAATTTATAATGGCTTACAATGTCATGCACGATATAACACACAAAAGCCAATTGTTTGGTTTTGATATTTCGCATTCACGGCTTGGACCCCCCCCCCCCCCCCTCAACGCTGTGGTTGTGTGTGTACGCCCAAACCCACACCATCCCCCAAGGCCAGTCCAAGCAACATGACATAGCAAGGGAAGCAGGAATGACTATGCCTGGCAAGAGTGAATCATTTACTCACGTCCAGTGCTAGTGTGGTGGCATTGCTGACATCAGTGAGTTCCACTCTCACTTCACCTACATAGGTTAGGAAATCTGAGACAAGAACAACAACAGCAGCAGCGGTGGCAACAACAGCAGCGGTAGTGGCAACAACAGCAGCGGTGGTGGCAACAACAGCAGCGGTGGTGGCAACAACAGCAGCGGTGGTGGCAACAACAGCAGCGGTGGTGGCAACAACAGCAGCGGTGGTGGCAACAACAGCAGCGGTGGTGGCAACAACAGCAGTGGTAGGAGAAGCAGCAGTGAACGGCAGTGATGGAGCAGCAGCAGCAGCGGCAGCAGCAGCAGTAGCAGCAGGGGCAGAGGCATTGGCAGCCGCCACAACAACAGCAGGACCAGTAGCAAGTTGAACTAAGAAAATCATTCCTTGAGATCAAAGTGTATCACCGACATCAAGTTGTCTTGCAATTTGTATAGATGCCATCTACAAAACATGTCAGCGTTCAGGTAGATAGATTTATGAAGGAGGTCACTAGCCAAACTTCATAAGCACTGCACAAACATGTACACCCTATCCTTTCACTTCATATGGACCATAACATGCTGTAATAGCCTTATATATATAGCGAACTGATAACTCTAACGAATTAACGAGAAGAAATCTGTCGTTAAAATAGAAAACGTTAGACAGAAATCGATACATATTGTTACTATTGAGCGTTGAGAATGAGTGAGAATCGTTACCTTTGATACACGTAAACTGGTCAATTTTAGGAAATCGTTATAATATAGATGCGCCTCGTTAGAATAACGGCTTTTACAGTAACACACGACTAAAAGACTCACATGAACACATCATCAAGTCTACCGGCAAATCTCACAGAAACACAGAAGCACACACACACATGTGCACACACACATCCACACAGTCTCACCGTTGCACTCATCGCCATCTCCCTCTCGGTGTGGATGGTTAGCGGAGCAGTTACACAGGAACGAGCCAGCTGTGTTGCTACAGACTTGTGACTCTGCATTACAGGTGTGGTCTGCACTGGAGCATTCATCAATATCTACACACGACAGGTAATACACAGTGATCAATATCTACACACGACAGGTAATACACAGTGCAATTCAGTCAGGTCAAGACCAAACAATGCACTGCACACAATGCACTGTACACACAATGCACTGTACACAATGCACTGTACACACAATGCACTGTACACAATGCACTGTACACACAACGCACAGTACACAACGCACAGTACGCACAATGCACAGTACACACAATGCACTGTACTACACATGCATCAATGTATACACGCAGCAGATGATACACAGCGCAGTTCAGGTCAGGACAAAACAATGCACTGTGCGCGGTGCTCCACAACTTCAGCACAGCGCAGGTTACTTTGAACACTACTTCGTTGTTTCATACCCAAAGCCAATGATTCTAGATCACGTATCTCTCCGTGTTAGCATGCATGTACACTAGTTCACGTATCTCTCCGTGTTAGCATACATGTACACTAAACTCATGATACCCGCCAGGATACTGAACTGATCTATGCTGACTTACTGGCAATATTTGCACGAAGGAACCTTTCCAGGTCCCAGCATGGCTTCATAACAAGATGGGCAATAGCTACTATCATAATTATGCAGAATCTGATTCTACATGATCTTTGGTGGTGCTATCACCAACATTTGCCCACAATTACGCTGATCTATCCCAGTGTGCTCAGAGCACACAGCTGATCTATATCAACACTTTCTATCACTGCAATCAGTGTACCAGCAGCTACAAGGAACGCTCCAATCAAAGTTTTCGTGGCCAATCGGTACTGAATTTATAAATCGTCATCCTGTGCAGTGCTTCGATTCCTAAAAATACCCCCCCCCCCCATCTAGGCAGTATACTCATTTTCTTTATCAACGAGGGGGTATTCATCACTATCGTGAATTCACAACCTTCAGATGCAACTGAGCATGGCCCATGGCTAACCTTTGCAGTGTGTTCCATTCCCAGTGAATCCGAGTGGACACGAGCAGAGGAAATCTCCAATGGTGTTGTTACACACTGCCACGTCATGGCAGTCGTGCAGTTGCGACGCTGTCTCATTGCATTCATCAATGTCTGCATCCAGGCATGGTACACACAGTTTAGAAGCAAAAATAGCTTTAAGAATACTGCAAGGGGCGTAGTAAAATCATTCTAAGGGTGCTGCACAGGACACGGTGGGGTTATCCCTGGCACATGGAGGGGGTAGCCACCATGCTTGGCAAGTGGAACAATACTGTCTTGCTGTTTTTGTGGTAAAAAGAGAAACGGGTATATCTGCTCACTGTCGGCCTTGAAGTAACATGTAAAATATGCCACTTTTAAATATACTCAAGAAATACAGCATACCGCTGTGAAACATTCTGTAACATTTCAATTATTCAGACTATCAATTAAAGGAATAAACCAACTTCAAGCTCTTTACGATCAACACGCAAAGTTTCCACTAGTGCTTTCTTCAGGTGGATACAGGCAGAAGAAGGAAGATAACCAGTATGGTAACCTTTTTACAAAACGTATAGGTGATACAAGCAGCAGCAGCAGGAGGATTTGTAAAAGCAAACACAGAACAAGGAGCAAAGTGACGATTCTCACGCACACCAAAACATAAACTCTACAGCTACGCATTCGTGATGCGCGTGCATGGAGAGGTGTGATCAGTCACGTGAGTGTCATGTGCACTGTGCCAACAATAGACAACAACTTAGAACTAGTTAGCGATGTGTGAGCATCCTAGCTAGCAGCCGGAGCCTGACACGCTGATCACACTTTTTCACATGCGCATCAACACCAGTATATAACTGTAAGAATTGTTGCGTTTCCGATAGGCTATGTGAGTGAGACACATCACTTTACTCCCTTTTTTGTTTGCTCTTGCTAGTCTACCAACTGCTGCTAACTGTTAGCACCATTAATACCTTGCATGCATATTAGTGTACTGGTTAGCTTCCTCTTCTGCTTGTATCCACCTGAAGCGAAGGCAGTGAAAGTACAATTGCGTAATGCTGATTGTAAAGAGCCGCAAGCTTGTCTTATTCTTTAGTCGGATTGCATTGTCACCTCCAGGAATAGTACTCGAATCATTGCTACTACCTTAGTAACATGTATTGTCGTCGTATTATCGCTCCCCCTACTCTCTCTCTCTCTCTCTCTCTCTCTCTCTCTCTCTCTCTCTCTCTCTCTCTCTCTCTCTCTCTCTCGCTCTCTCTCTCTCTCTCTCTCTCTCTCTCTCTCTCTCTCTCTCTCTCTCTCTCTCTCTCTCTCTCTCTCTCATCTGTAGTATATGTGCGTGCTCGTTGTAAAATAAATCAGTCCTTGTCTTGTCCCGCAATGGATTTCTGCGTGGCTTTCAGGCCAAACATAACATATTGCTGTTGTACGGGTTATACTCTTACCAGCACACTCTGGCAGTGTTCCATTCCACTCTCCTGTCTCCGAGCACGTGTGCTGGAAATCTCCTACCACTGCTTGGAATCCACTCTGGCAGGTATAGTTCACTTCACTTTCATACACTGTGGTGGAAACATTAGAAAATGTGTTGTTGCCATCGGGAGGTTGGGCACAGTCCACTATGTTGCACGTGGGAGGAGGATTTGACCATTGCCCATTGTCTTGACAAACTGTGGAGTTGAAGCCAATCAGATTGTACCCTGTGTTGCAAGTGAAGTTGAACCTGTTCCCAGAGGCAAACTGTGATGTCAGACCCTGTTGTATGATTCCATTCGACAAGTGTGGAAGAGCTGAACAACGAATCCCTGTAATGAACACAGGAGCGGCGGAATTTTGTTGCTTTTAAACACAGACACATGACATACCCAGATAGCTTTCATGATGACATTAATTTCACTTCTCTGCATACCGACTCCTCTTTTCCCCTGTGCTCAGAAAAACTCTGCAAGTAACACCAAGCAAAGCACACCCTGGCAGCATCCAAGTAGTACAGTTAGAGTGTGTATCGGTTATAGCGTGGTCGTGTAAAAGAATACACTGCCTACAAGAATGAACTCTCACGTTTTCATAATCATAACATGGCTTTCAAGTGCACATTTATTCTTACAAGCAATTTTTATCGTACAGTAGAATTTACCAGAAGGAAATAGTTTCTTACTTGAGCAAACCAGTGCACCTCCATTCCATCGGCCACTGGGCTGACATGTTAGCTGATTCAGGCCAGAGCTGGGCTGGAAACCAGGTAAACATGTATAGCTGGCTGTGCTTCTATAAACCGTGCTAGGGGCCAGCACACTAGACGTGTGGTGAGATGGTGGTGACCCACAGTTAACAATCGTACATGTTGGTGCCGTATCGGACCACTGTGAGCTACTCTGACACGTTGTCTGACCAGCTCCTTGGAGTGTGTAGCCGGTATTGCAGGTGAATTGCAATTTGTCACCAACAGTAAATCGTCCTACTGCTGGTGAGACGTGCCCGTTGGATGGCTTTCCTGCTTGTGCAGGATCGCAGGTGATGAGCGAGCATTTAGGTTCTTCCTTTGGTGCCCAATCTCCATTTGCAAGGCATGATCTTGTTGTTGGACCAGTTAGCTTGAAGCCTGCTTGGCACTCATAATCCACAGTTGTATTGAACGTGAAGGATGGATTCCCAATTACACCTCCATTGGCCGGATTGCCGGGTATTCCGCATGATACAACTGCAGCATATCCCAGGAAAATACAGAGTAGACAGATTGCAAAGCGCTAGAAGCAAATCTACCCATGCACAGCACATACCTAGCTGATTTAAATGCGCTTCATTTGTCACCGGACCTCATTGCAATGCGTGTAGTTACTCTGAGTTCTGTGATAATACCTAACAAGGTCAGAGGATCTAGCTATGTGGAGATTGAGTAATACATGCATACTGTAGAACGGGTAATTTTAGCGACGTACAAGCCTTAGCGAATTTAGCGATCGACTCATTTTCGCTAAAATTTCAAGTCGCTAATCCGTTGAGACATTAGTAGTGCACTGGTGATCCGTGAGTAAAATCGCTGCAAATCGCTAAAATAAAACGTCGCTAACCGGTTGACAATGGGAAAACGCTAAAATTAATAGTCGCTAAAATTACCCGTTCTACAGTATCTATTGGACTTGGCCAGTGGGCATCTTAGACACATGATGTGCAGCGAGAAGTCTGGTTTGTACTCTCCATCTATCTGTGACTAGGTTTCACAATGGTGCCAGTGGGATTCACAACGAAATCCTCCTTTCAAGTGAAGAGTGCCATTCACGGTGCGCACTGGGATCTCACACCAAATCCTTGTGTAGGTAATGAACTAAGTAATGCTAGTTACGCTACTGAACAGCATTCAAGAGGGTACAACCGCTCATAGCAGGAATCCACTTTCTTGCATTCACATGAACAATCGCCATTGAAGGGATCTGAGCAAACTACAATGCAGTTGTTTTATATTATCTGATGTACTATGTGTTCACTTGTTGCCATTTTGTAAGGAAACTGTGCAGTGTGTTGTAAAGATACTGTTGGGTATACAGTGTATCGCAGGCCTTCTAGTACTGTGAACCGCTCTTGCAATGTGTCTTTGTACACTTACTTTGACATGACAGTGCACTGCCATTCCAATGGCCACTGGCCAAGCAGGTCACTTGTCGCCGCCCGGAGGTCTGATTGAACCCAGGATAACAACTGTAGTTAGCAATGCTCCCATAGTCGGTGCTGGCTGGTGAGTACAACGTCGAGTTCTTGCCAGCTACAGCCGGTGGCTCTCCGCAATTCACAATATTGCATGTCGGCACAGGGTTAGACCAACGAGAATCACCTTGACAAGTAGATGTGTCTGCACCACTCAGATTGTATCCTTCATGGCAGAAAAACTTTAGTGTATGTCCCACAGTGAAGTTACCAGTCCAGGGTGTAGATAGTGGCTGGTTATACCCATTCCTTGGTTCATCGAGATAAATAGGATTACATTTGATTAGCGCGCAGATTGCCCTTTCACTCGGTGCCCAAGATCCATTAGCGAGACATGTTCTGGCAACTGGTCCCGTTAGGTTGAAGCCAGTGTTGCATCGATGTGATATACTGGTGTTAAATAGGTATGATGTGTTTCCAGTAACAGTTCCATTGTCCAATGCTTGAGGCCTTCCACACGAAACAACTGTTATCGATAGATCACAAACGAATACAGTAAAACTCTGGCACAATTACCTGTTTGTGGCAGAGAGCATTATCATGCCCTACACTTCAAAGAAGGCAGAGAAACGAGAGAGCTTGGAAGCTCAGCGCCCTACGCTATGCTTTTATGCTTTTTGCCTAGCTCATCGTACATGTTATAAGAACTGATGGAATTGTCTTTTTCCATTGATTGGCCACATCACTGTATTGCAAAAACGTTTCAATCGGTTTGAATATTATGAGTTAGGCAAAAGTATTTGAAACTCGGATGTTGAGCCATAAATAAATGTAGAAGAGAAAAGGACATATCGATACGAGTTAAGAGTAACTCTCCATCACTGTAACATGATACTATATACAGTCAGAAAGTGCAATACTAGGCACAAAACTGACAGAGTACTGAAACATTCAACGTCCTGACACCTAGCTTCAACACATCTCCGTAGCGCTAACCGACAGCCTTCCAACTCGGAAGGTTCAAGGTTATGGAAAGACCAAAGAGGGGAGGGCAAGCGCAACGAAAATGAGCAAAAGCTACAGTCCCAACGGAACAAAGAATGTCGATTGTTACTGGACGATGACGAGACCAGTACGATATTTGACAAAGCGGTCTAACTAAAATTCGAAGCAGCAAAGCAGCACACCACCCAACTTGGGTGGGTCATAAATATCAAAGATAAATAAAGAAAGGGAAGCTTTGCGAAAACGAATTGTACAAGCCGAAAGCCAAACTCCTACAGTACTCCTCATGCATGACATTGTGCGAAACGTACGTCGTGTGAAACAACTTGTTTTGTAGTCAACTAGTCCATCACAATGTCATGCATGAGGAGTACTGTAGGAGTTTGGCTTTCGGCTTGTACAATTCGTTTTCGCAAAGCTTCCCTTTCTTTATTTATCTTTGATATTTATGACCCACCCAAGTTGGGTGGTGTGCTGCTTTGCTGCTTCGAATTTTAGTTAGACCGCTTTGTCAAATATCGTACTGGTCTCGTCATCGTCCAGTAACAATCGACATTCTTTGTTCCGTTGGGACTGTAGCTTTTGCTCATTTTCGTTGCGCTTGCCCTCCCCTCTTTGGTCTTTCCATAACCTTGAACCTTCCGAGTTGGAAGGCTGTCGGTTAGCGCTACGGAGATGTGTTGAAGCTAGGTGTCAGGACGTTGAATGTTTCAGTACTCTGTCAGTTTTGTGCCTAGTATTGCACTTTCTGACTGTATATAGTATCATGTTACAGTGATGGAGAGTTACTCTTAACTCGTATCGATATGTCCTTTTCTCTTCTGCAAAAGTATTTGCAGAATTTATTGCGGATTGTTGTTTCTCTAATAATCATCTACTTTTGTTTTGCTCCTTCTTAAATTTTATCTCCTTATATTGTAAATCAACAAATTTTGGCCGATGAGAAATAGAAACCTCTCGATTTGAGAGGTTAAGATGCACGTTATTTCCGACGTGACGCGCAGTTTCACGTCAAATTTGAAATCGATCGATATTTTTGCTCTCACATGCATCCATTGCTCAATCATGCATCATTTGCCTATATGACAAACGTTGGCCTGCGATTTACTTTGGCCGGTTGGTGCCGAGCGGCGAAATCAGCGAAATTAAATCGCCAGCGAACATTAGTTGATTTTAATACAGGAATCGGATTTTCTGGTCTTTTTGTAGTAATACATGTACCGTTTAGGCGCTGCATCTGCGCCTTTGATCCTAGAGGGTGGTGGCGTTCCCACGGCGGATGCGGAAAACTCGGCTTCCAGCCGAGTCTCACGCGAACCGTGAAATTTTTTTTTTTTTTTTTAATCATTGACCTGTTGAGCCAATGACGACGCCGAATGCATGGTTGCCTGTGGAGCACATTACATAACTTTAAAGTCTCCTAAAATACGTATCCTGTCCGACGGCAAAAGAGGCTGCAGATTTAGTTTTTCTGCGCGTCGACGGGATGTCTGCGACGCGAAAGTTCAGCTCGCGTTATTTGGCTCGCACGTCGAAAAAATCAACGCGAGTGACCTGCTGCTCACGTCGAAATTTGGACATTACATAACTTTACAGTCTCCTATATAAATACGTATCCTGTTCGACGGCAAAAGAGGCTGCAGATTTAGTTTTTCTGCGCGTCGACGGGATGTCTGTCCTGACGTTTACTGGGACCGGCGCTGACTCTGCCGATCACGGGCGTTCTGGACTCGACGGGATGTCTGTCCTGACGTTTCCTGGGACCGGCTTAGACTCTGCCGATCACGGGCATTCTGGACTCAACGGGATGTCTGTCCTGACGTTGCCTGGTACCGCCGGACTCTACCGATCACGGGCGTTCTGGAGTCGACGGGATCTCTCTTCCGACGTTTCCTGTGACCGGCACTGAATCGCTCGTTCACGCTTATTTTGGAGACGACGGGATCTCTCTTCCAAAGTATGTTTATGCTGACGCATCGTATCACCTAATCGGCGTCTATTCTAATTTAATTTCCTCCTCGTCTCCCTATTTCTTTCCAAATCCCACTCTACATCAGGGAGTCGTATGCGTAATACGACGAATATTGGTACGGTACGGGACAGATACAGGAGCCCGCAAATATTGTGGACAGCTGTTATGTACAATCCTGTAGAGCCTTTGTAGTCACAGATACGGGACAGATACGGGACAGATACGGGATAGCGCCAGGCGTGACACAAACAAACAAACAAACAAACACACACACAAATACCAAACGAGAGAGCTTGGAAGCTCAGGGCCCTACGCTATGCTTTTATGCTATTTTGCCTAGCTCACCGTGCATGTTATAAGAACTGAGGCAAAAGTATTTGCAGAATTTATTGCGGATTGTTATTTCTCTAATAATTATCTTCTTTTGGTTTGCTCCTTTTTTTCTTTTTATCTCCTTATACTGTAAATCAACAAATTTTGGCTGATGAGAAAATTAGAAACCTCTCTATTAGAGAGGTTAAGATGCACGTTATTTCCGACGTGACGCGCAATTTCACGTCAAATTTGAAATCGATAGGTATTTTTGCTCTCACATGCATCCATTGCTCAATAATGCATCAATTTCCTATATGACAAACTTTGGCCTGTGATTTACTTTGGCCGGTTGGTACCAAGCGGCGAAATCAGCGAAATTAAATCGCCAGCGAAAATTAGTTGATTTTAATACAGTAATCGGATTTTCTGGCCTTTTTGTAGTAATACATGTACATTGACCTGTTGAGCCAATGACGACGCCGAATGCATGGTTGCCTGTGGAGCACATTACATAACTTAGCAGTCTCCTAAAATGAGTATCCTGTCCGACGGCAAAAGAGTCTGCAGATTTAGTTTTTCTGCGCGTCGACGGGATGTCTGCGACGCGAAAGTTCAGCTCGCGTTATTTGGCTCGCACGTCGAAAAATCAACGCGAGTGACCTGCTGCTCACGTGGAAATTTGGACATTACATAACTTTACAGTCTCCTATAATACGTATCCTGTCCGACAGCAAAAGAGGCGGCAGATTTAGTTTTTCTGCGCGTCGACGGGATGTCTGTCCTGACGTTCAATGGGACGGTGCTGACTCTGCCGATCACGGGCGTTCTGGACTCGACAGGATGTCTGTCCTGACGTTTCCTGGGACCGGCTTAGACTCTGCCGATCACGGGCGTTCTGGACTCAACGGGATGTCTGTCCTGACGTTGCCTGGGACCGGCGGACTCTGCCGATTACGGGCGTTCTGGAGTCGACGGGATCTCTCTTCCGACGTTTCCTGTGACCGGCGCTGAATCGCTCGTTCACGCTTATTTTGGAGATGACGCGATCTCTCTTCCAAAGTACATGTATGTTTATGCTGACGCTGTTTATGCTGACGCATCCTATCACCTATTCGGCGTCTATTCTAATTTAATATCCTCCTCGTCTCCCTATTTCATTCCAAATCTCCCTCTACATCAGGGAGTCGTATACATAATATGACGAATATTGGTACGGTACGGGACAGATACAGGAGCCCGCAAATATTGTGGACAGCTGTTATGTACAATCCTGTAGAGCCTTTGTAGTCACAGATACGGGACAGATACGGGACAGATACGGGATAGCGCCAGGCGTGACACAAACAAACAAACAAACAAACACACAAACAAACAAATACCAAATTAAAGCTGTGTGGACCCTGGCTAGCGCCAGACGTTACTGAAGTAACGTCTTCTGCATAGCTACGGGAATTAAAGCTGTGTGGACCCTGGCTAGCGCCAGACGTTACTGAAGTAACGTCTTCTGCATAGCTACGGGAATAATGTTGATTTGCAACACATGTTCTGTTGCATAAACTGAATATTGAATTAATGTTTTTCGTAAGTTATAACTTCTGAGTCTAGCAAAACTTGAGTCCAGATGAACAGAGGTACTGCCGAACCGTATATTGCGGTCGTTTGGAGACTCGACAGGGCACGGACCAGGTAGGTCACACACACGCACACACACACACACACACACACACACACACACACACACACACACACACACACACACATACACACACACACACGCACACACACACACACACACATACACACACATACACACACACACTTGTACTTAGTGCTCGCTGACAAAACTGGTCACGTGGGTCTCCCCGGGAGAGGGGAGAGAGACTCAAAAGGAATCTTGGAAAGATGACTCAATTGGCTATTGAACCGCCCAACAACCGACACCCCCTGAAATCCCCAAAACTCTGGGTGGACTTGAAAATGATCCCACTTATGGGCTCACCACACCTCAGTAAGTGGGTGAGGACAAGGTGCAGAAAGGGATTGACGGCATCAGGGTATCCGTCCTGGGATCCAACTGCAGTTACCCCTGCCCCCAGTGAAGGTAATACTTGCTACTAGTGTGGGTGGCTAAATCAGAGTGGATCTGATATAAGCTTCACTAGCACCGTTGATTACACAAGAGTTAATCTAGCCAGAAGCAGTCCATGGTTAACAGGTATGTATACTTCAAACAGAAAGTATATGAACCCTGAAACCAACAAAGGTGGCAGGTACAACATTACACCTTCAAGTAGCCGAGCCCGTTGGCAACAGACCCAACACAATCAGGCATAAGTGTACCCACCAACCGAACTAGCCGGCACACACACACACACACTCCGTCCTTCCAACTCAAAGTTTAGGATTACGTACTGGTGACAGTGGCATCGTAGAGAGTAATAAGTTGGAATTGGAATATTCTTACATTGGGTTCCCATCACTTGGGCTGACCAACACACTACGATTGTGTTCTTCTATGAATGATTTTATCACCATATGCACTGAATATTGTGGAGGCCTTATAAGATGACTATAGTCAGCTGGGTCGCCCCGTAAGATGAGAAAGACTCATCAACAGCAACAATAATGATTTGCACCTAGTCTGTATACAGTGCAGCTTTTCGTCCTTTGTGCTTCAGAGCAGCAGAGAACGCAGGACGAACACTGCTTCTAGCATATTCACCTCAGCCTAACATTATGACTTACTTGCACAGTGCAGTGGATTGCCACTCCATCGGCCTGTTGACAGACAAGTACGATTGTAGTCCCCAGCTGATTTCCTGTACCCTGTCCGACAGCTATATGTGGCATTACTTTGAAAGACGGTTCCTGTTGTGCTAACAACGGAGGAATCAGTGCCATCCAGTGGCATGCCACAATCGACTATTCTGCAGTGAGGCACTGGATTAGACCATAGCCCACTAACTTGGCAGGTAGTTGCATTAGCACCAAGTAGAATATACCCCGGTGAACAAGAGAACCGCTCTTCATGATCAACAGTTAGTTGGCCTGTGACGGGAGAATATGAAGTATTTCTTCTCACTTCACCTGTTGTATTGAGAGTTGGACAAGTAATGATATAGCAGTTCTGCTCCTCTACGGGCTCCCAGATTCCGGTCGCTGCACAAGTTATCTGTGATGGCCCAGTCATATTGAAACCAGGGTTGCAGGAGTAACTGACGGTTGCATTGAACACAATGCTATTATCACCACTGACTGTTCCATTTGGTAGACGCCGAGGATGGCCACATGAAATCACTGCAGATGATAGACACGCAGAATCATTTTGAAAAGCTGTGATAACGATCTTGAAGATCATGCCAATGCTAACATGTCTATTAGTGATGCAGCGAAGGGTGTTTCCCTCGAACGAATATTCTCTCGAATATTGCTTTGACGAACGAATGAATATTCTATATTCTTCTGATGTGTTTCAATCACTTCACTCAATCAGACCCAACATTCATGTTGCATACAGATCACATTGATAGTCAACAACCACTGTGCAAAGAGCAGATTTTACCGTCTAAGAACAAGCTTCGAAGTGCTCAGAAGATAATTTCAAAAGGTTACAATATCCTCCTTAACACTGTTCACTGATAACAGTTGGAGCTAAATAACACAACCAAAAAGTGCGAATTTCGAATGATTATTGAATGTTGCTGCCTGCCTTCGCATATTCTTTCTGGTGTCGGTATTCTAGAACTATTCGAATAATTCGAATACTCCTTGCATCACTAATGTCTATACATGTTTTTTTTAGTTAAAGTCGACTCCTGGTATAATGAACCAATGTGGAGGAGAATTAGTTCTTTGTAGCCGAAGTTCGCTCTAACAGAAATGCACTCAAACTTTACAAGCGGAAAGTCATGACTTTCATGCGGCCCATGGCTGTATGAGAGCACTTGGTTCACAATCGGCCATTTGATATGGTTCGTTGCAAAGGAACAATTTTGTCTGGGTTCAAACAGGGACATGAGCAACGGTTCTCCATATCATGAAATTCGCTATGTGCGTGCTCGTTATACGTGGGTTAGACTACTAAGTATATCCATTTATCTGAGGGTATGGTGGAACATCCAAACGATTCCTAACTCCCAAAAAGGAGCATAGATGAGATTGGTATGATTGTGCAAATATAGGTAAACATCTATAATATTGGACGCGGATGGAGAGCCCAGGATAAATTTACAGAAAAGAATAGGACCACGGAACAACAAGTTACGCTATAATGTCCATTAGCATCCCCCCCACCTCACAACAGAGCAACAGTATGTTGGGTTACGCCGGGAGTGCCGATACGAGCAACTGGTTAAACTATCGAGCAAGCGTATGATGGCCCCGCTTGGAGCCGCTAGGTGGCTCGCAGCTGAGCCGCCAACTGACTCCGCATGGAGCCGCCAAATGACTCCGCCCAAATGCTAAATATATAGGTATGCGGAAAACCAGTTGAGAGCATATATTTCATAAATCGGCACTCCCGGAACGGGCCATAGAAGTTAGAACAGTTACCCGTGCAGGCTGTAAGCAGCTCAAGCTAGTCAGAATTTGATATCAGGGGCTGAGGCCATTGCCGCAGCCACCCAAGCCTTGGCTGCAGTCGGCGTACGAATGTACCTCAGGCAGGCGTCGCTCTTCCATCTGCCCGCCTCTCTGATTACGGAGTCTGGCAGCCCGGCCAGCGCTGCTGTGGTGGCGGCACCTATCCGGAATGAGTGGCCGGCATACAATGCCGAGTCAAAGCCGCAACTGGTGAGCAGCATCCTCACAGTTGCCGTAAATGCCGGTCGTGATAGAGGCTGACCATTACTCAGCACAAACAGGGGCCGGTCCGGGCTGGCCGAGCTGCGTGTTCCCAGCAGGTATTGGAGAAGCGCGGAACTGCACAATACGGGGCGATGCTGGGCCTATTGTTATGGTTACCCCTCGGCCAGGGTCGGTCTTGGAGGTGCGGAGGAATATGAGTGCTGCCCCCTGCTCGAACTTGACGTCGCGACGACGTACTATGCTGGTAAATTCCGCGCATCTCAGGAACCCATAGAAAGCACTCAGCATGGCTGCAACATAAAGACGTTTATCACTGTCATTCAGGATAGTGCAGCGATGACAGGCATCAACCAGTTGGTGCACCATATGCACTGTGATTGGCAACCGGGGACGAGTGGCTGAGTTCCCGTGGCAACGGTCTATGCCTTTCAAAACTCGGCCCAGTAGCCAGGTGTCGCCCAGAGGGTCCGCATGGCCCGCTTCTAGGTGCAGGTTGCGTACAGCAGACAGATACACACGAATAGTACTGGGCTGGACTGACCTGGCTAGGTAGGCAGCAAACATGCTCAGTATAACATCAGTGGCAGGAAATAACGAGAATTGATTGAGAGAGCAAAATTGTATGTAGCGGCTTTCGCCTGCGTGATAGGTGCGCCGAGTGTTTGGGGCGATAGCCTGTGATGCATAGTAAGCTACATCAGCTGGTGCGGCAGACGGGCCGTGTCTGCCTCCATTCCAGCTGACGGTGCTGCTTTGCGAAAGTCCTGCATGCAGAAACGAGAGAGACGATCGGCGATAGTGTTATTGGCTCCTGGGATATGCTTAGCAGAAACAGTGAAATTGTGCCCAGCGCATACAAAGAACAGCTCCCGCAGCAGAACCATCAATGCTGGAGATGGGGAGGTGCCGGAGCGGATACACTCCACTACTACCATGTTGTCGCAGTGAATTAATATTCGCAGCTGAGGCCACTCGCTTCCCCAGGTACTGCAGGCTGCCACAACTGCAAACAGCTCTTTCCAGTCAATGCTATGCTCTGCTTGGCTGTCTGTCCACCTGCCCTGTATCCATCGGCCGGAATTGTACGCGCCCCAGCCAATGGCACCACTTGCATCGGTGTATAGTTGCAAGTCCGGGGACGGCGTCCAGTTGGGATGTAAGAAGAACGACCGGCCGTTCCACTGGTCCAAGAGCTTGAGCCACCAGCGCAAATCTTCGAGGCACTCTTCAGAGAGCTTGATCCGGTAATAGGGCTGCTGGTACCGGCTGGCAATTGACCACTGTCTGCGCATGAATGTGCGTCCTGGGACTACCACTCTCGCGGCAAACGAGAGCTTTCCCAGAAGAGACTCGAGTTGACGTTGCGAAATTGACACTGAGTGCAGAGTAGCCCGTAGGAGGTCCCGAAGCTCGGAAAATTTGTCCATAGGCAGGCGGGCTTCGAGGCGGCGGGTGTCAAGAATAATGCCGAGAAAAATCAGGACTTGAGCTGGACCCTCCACTTTTGCTGGGGCCAGGGGTACGCCGAGGTATGTGAAAGCACGCAGCAAAATAGCGAGTTGCTGGTGGGCTACTACAGATCCAGAGCATGCATTGAGAAAGTCGTCGAGATAGTGCAACAGGTGTGGGACAGCGAACTGCTCTCGCATTATCCATTCTATAGCGGATGCGACAGAGTCAAATATGGCAGGGCTTGAGCGTAGTCCGAAGGGGAGAACGCGCTCGTAGAAGTATTGACCCTGCCAGTGGATGCCCAACAGGGGCCAATCCTCCGGGCGGACAGGAATTTGGCGGAATGCACTTTTTACATCGAGCTTAGCAAGATATACTGGGGCAGGCAATTGCATGATAAGATTAACAGCATCGTCAATAGTGACATAATGGAGAGAAAAGGGGTCTGCTGGGATACAATCATTGACACTCTGACCCTCCGGGCTGGACAAATGGTGTATCATGCGTAATTTCCCGTTCTTCTTGGGAACCGCGCCTATCCCAGAGCAGCGCATAAATGGAAAAGGGGGTGAAGGAAAGGGGCCAGCTGTTTCATGCCTGCTGCAGGAAGCGTGAAGTTGTGCAGAAATAAAGTCAGGATTTGCATGTGCAGAGGGTAAATTCTGTGAATCACAGTTAGTGGAGCGGTTGCCAGTGAAACCTACATCAAAGCCACATCTGAGCCCATGTACCACATACTTCACGAAAGTAGGATTAGGGTGTGAGGCTAGCAAACTTGAAAAGCGGGAAACTGAGAGTGGTGTATGACTATGGGTGTTGCTAGTGCCTATGCAGGTGCATCTGATAGAGTCAGCAGTGGTGCTTACGCAGGGTGTACATGGTGTATGAGTGATGCTAGTGCCTGTACAACTACCATAACTGGGGACCGAGTCGACACGTGTGCTTACACAGTTACTCTCTGGGTCGCGTGCATAGAGCCCTGGGGTGCTCCTTTCGGCACCGGAGGCAGATGTGAGCGAAGCGGCACTGCTTGAGCTGGCACTTTCCAGCGTTGTAGTTGCGGCATATGGGCTGACTAGTTGCTGAATACTTGGACGCGAATCCATTGGTGGACTGGCGGTTGGCCCGAAAAGGGCACGGAAATGCTGGGGGGTGCACGAGGCTGCATTGCTGGCAGGCGGGTCGTGCCTTTCCGGTGAAGCAGAGCTGCCACAGGTTGATGTCGATGGCATCTAGTTTCTTGCCGTATTGCGAAGCAGTGGCCGAGCGGAGCTGACGGTCGTACGAAAGCCATGCTTCGGGTAGAAACTGACGATTGGCTGCGGCAATCGTGGCCTGGTACGATAGGCACTCATGGAGACGGTGAGGAGCAGCAGAGCACAAACCATTCATGTATAGGGTCCAGGCCTCAACCCATGTGCTAAAATCATGCGCTCTACGACGGACAGTTCTGGGCTCAGATTCAACCAGTTCTAGTGCGCCGGATGAGCTGCCGGATGCACGGAGTTGGAATGCCATCGGCATCGGAGCCGCACTAGAACTGGCTGTGCTTGTGTCTGGGAGCAAACAATCAAATTCCACGAACTCACCTCTCTGTATGCGGTCGAGGAGAGCCCGTGGTAGAGTCAGGTTCACCTGGTGGGGCTGTTCGTGCTGCATGCTGATCGTTGCTGTGTTCACAGCAGGGTTGCTGGCGGCAGGCGGCGGTGCTGAGCCAGGCAAGGCGAGGAGAGGCTGGACAGCATTGGCGACAGCAGTAGATACAGCCCGTTGAACCTCCTCGGTGATCATGGCCTGCATCGTGGGGGTATCCGCGCTGTCCAGAGCTAGGCTGGGGCTGGTGGCTGCGCGGACAGGGGTGGACGTGCGAGCGGCAGTGCGAGGTCTTTTTGTAACTCCAGACGAAGTTGCAGCGGCCGGAGGCTTGACAGTTGCAGGAGCATTGGCCCCGCTGCGGCGTTTCCCGCGAGTATCCATGGCTCTAAATGCCAGCACGCGGAAAGGAAATCGGTAATCGCAACAAAACGTTGAAAGGGAAA